ATGCTGGCAACCTATGTACAAATATGCTTGATACAATTGATGTATGGATTGTTATAAGAGCTGAAAGAGTGCCCAATAAAATGATCTTAAAAAAAAAAATCAATCCGTTGACTTTCCTAGATTCACTTCCATATGTGAACGAAAGCTCTCAACTATATCTTTTTTAGATGTGCAATTTATTTCTGAAATAAAACCATTTGTGAAAAAAAAAAAAGGGATCTTATGTATGTGGATCTTATATCCTGCAATATTGCTAAAATATAGCAATTAGTTCCAGCAAATTTTAAATGGAATCTTCGGGGTTGTCCGTGTACAGGATTATATAATCTATAAAGAAAGAGAGTTTTGTGTCTTCTGTTTCAATATGGCTTAAATATATTTTTGATATCTTATGGCTCTGGCTAAGACTTCCAGGACCGTATTAAATAATAGCGACAAATACCTTTTTCCAATGACACTAATGGTGGCTACACACATGGACTTCTCCAGATGGAATACACAGAAACCAAACTGACTACATCTGTGGGAAAAGACGATGGAGAAGTTCAGCTTCAGCAGCTAAAACCACGCCATGGGCTTACTCTGTAACAGACCATCAATTGCACATATGCAGGTTCAGGTTGAAGTGGAAAGCAATGAAGATAAGCCCACGAGAACCAAAATATGACCTCGAGTCTATCCCACCTGAATTTTGAGAATATCTCAAGACTAGATATGACCTATTGAACACGAATGACAGAAGAACCGATGAGCTGTGAAATGACACTGAGAGCATCCTACATGAGAACACGAAAGGTCATTAAAGGGAGAAGAAAAAAAAGTCAAAATGGCTATCGGAAGAGACTCTGAAACATACTCTTAAACATAGAATAAGTCAGGCAAATGGAAGCAAAGATGAAGTGAAAAAATGACGCAGTAGAAGAGTTGAACAGAAAACAATCAGGAATCTTCATTCCAATAGGAACCCCGTGTGTCTGTGTCCATAAACAACGTCAAATCTAGAGCAGGCTGTCCGTCAAGCCGTCAAACAACGTGTACCAGCTTACAGGGCCAACCATGTTCTTCATTCAGTCAGGGTATGGTTAACTCAGCTCTAGCCATTTCAAATGAGATGAATGGGTGGTGTAGCACCTAGGGAGTTCCCCATACAACTCCCCCACCCCCTACTTTAGACCACTGGGCCCTTCACAAGTTCTCAAAAATCCTAGTTCCCTCAGACTCCCATGTCATAGACTCTGTTCTTGTGTAACTCTTTAACTTTAGACCATAGCGACCTTACACAACAGAAGGAAGCAGTGCTTGGTCCTGTGCAATCCTCCCAGTTGTTCCTATGTTCAAGTCCATTGTCACAGCCACTGTATCCATCCATCTCCCGGAGGGCCTTCCTCCCCTTCGCTGCCCCTCCACTTTACCAAACATGATGACCTTCTCCAGGGACACATGTTCAAAGTAAGAAAGAATAAAACTCACAGTCCTTGCCTCTAAGGAGCATTCTGGCTGTACTTTTTCCAACACAGGTTTGTGTGTCCTTTTAGTAGTCCATGGTACTTTCAGTATTCTTCTCCAGCACCACAATTCAAATGATCGACTGTTCTTTGCTCTTCATTATTCAATGTCGAACTTTGGGTGACAGTGGCGATACCAGGAGGGAAG